TTTTTTTTTTTTTTTTTTTTTTTTACCGTTTTGTTTGACAATTAGATTGTTTAATCTTTCAAACTTGGGTATGAATGAGGTTTTGGGATGTTTCCAAACATCCAGTTTTACTCTCATAGGCCTAAGAGGATGCTCCAGATAATATAATGTAGGTTCTGCAGTTTCTTTGCAAATGTTAGTAGACATTTCATTTAAGCTTACCAGTCAATTGAATGACAGCTTTGTTGTATAATTGTTAGACTCATTGGTTGTCTGAGCAAAGTAATGAAATCAACTACTAGCCGCTAAAGATAATTTGGTAAAAACATCAGATTTATCCATCATTTAAATTTGTTCATTTCTTCGATAATATTGCATACTGTGACGTGCAGAAAGCAATTTGTTTTGGGTTCTTGAGAGCCCTGAGAACAGAGACTCACCTGGGGGCTGGATACTAAGCCTCTAAACCAAAAGAAAAAAAACAAAACCATTGCCATCATTTCTATCACCAAAGCCATATTTTCCTCTTTCTTTCCAACTTTCGCATTCCAGTCCCCAATAATTTTCAATGCATCCTGATTGCATGTTCGATCAATTTCAGACTGCAGAGGTGGGTAAAAATCTTCAATTTTTTCATCTTTGGCCTTAGTGGTTGTTGCATAAATTTGAATAATAGTTGTCTTAACTGGCCTTCCTTGTAGGTAGATGAATATTTTCACATCACTGACAGTGTTATACTTCAGGATAGGTCTTGAAATGTTCTTTTTGAAGATGAATGCAACACCATTCCTCTTCAGTTTGTCATTCCCAGCATAGTAGACCATATGATTGTCTGATTCAAAATGGCCAATACCAGTCCCTTTGAGCTCACTAATGCCTAGGATATCAATGTTCATGTGTTCCATTTCATTTATGTTTGACTTCCAATTTTCCTAGATTCATACTTCGTACATTCCACGTTCCTATTATTAATGGATGTTTGCAGCTGCTGCTTCTCATATTAAGTCATGCCACATCAAAAAATGAGAGTTCTGAAAACTTGACTCCATGCATGTCATTAAGATCGACTCTACTTCGAGGAGGCAGCTCTTTCCCAGTTGTATTTTGAGTGCCTTCCAACCTGAGGAGCTAATTTTCCAGCACTATATCAGACCATGTTCTGCTGCTATTCACAAGGTTTTCATTGGCCAATTTTTCAGAAGTAGACTTCCAGGTCCTTCTTCCTAGTCTGTCTTAGTCTCAATTGGTTACATGGGATAAATGCAGAAATACGTGACTTTAGGGGGGTTAGTGGGGTGGTTACAAGATGATTAGAAAGTTTTTTTTTTCTGAGAACATTCTTCCAAGATAGAATCTTTAGCAAACATTCCCAGAGAGTTGCTTACGAAGGAGGTTTCTGATAAGGAGCTTTCATCAAGACGCTCCTTTAGAGACACAGTTTCCACATTCTTAGCTTAACTGCAGATGAAAACATTTCCTTAATTACATGATTAAGTCTCAACAAGGGTTAACAGTTGCTGAGAAGTAAGTAGAAGTTAAAGATGGAGTCGGAGCTTAAACTGCAGGCCAGTCAATTTGATACAAGCCAAGAACCTCAATTTTGGGGCTCTCGCACAGCTTGAACTGCCACCTTTTGGTTAATAGATAAGTACTTAACAGTTTTTGCCACCCAGGAACTCCTCCAGGATCACAAAGAGAAATTTATTCTCTCACAGTCTAATAATAGGTTACAAGTCCAAATTCAGGGCGTCAGCTTCAGGGGAAGGCTTTCTCTCTGTTGGCTCTGGAGGAAAGTCTTTGTCATCAGTCTTCCCCTGGTCTAGGAGCTTTTCAGCACAGGAACCTCAGGTCCAAAGGAATCAATCTGCTCCCAGCATTGTTGTTCTGTGGTATGAGGTCCCCATGTCTCTCTGCTCACTTCTCTCTTATATCTCAAATGATTGACTTAAGACATAATCTAATCTTGTAGATTGAATCCTGCCTCATTAACATAATACCACTAATCTCCCTCATTAACATCATAGAGGTAGAATTTATAACACATCAGATGACAAAATGGTGAACAATCACACAATACTGGAAATTGTGGCCTAACCAAGTATACACACATTTTGGGGGAACACAGTTAACTCCATAACATCCTCTCAACCATAAACAAATAGAAATCTGGTCAAATGTATGAAAAAACTGTTTTCAGACATGGGGTAACCAGCTGCACAGGACTGGGACCTCTGGAACAAGGAGAGCAAACAGTGAGACCCCTGTTGCCTGGCTTTCTCCAGGCTGTGGCAAAGTGAGGGAGGCAGAGGGGGAAGACCCATGCAGACACAGCAAACTTGCTGAGCTGAGGAGACAGAAAAAGGATTCATTGAAGCTTAGCATGCTAGATTTATAGGGCAGAGCACCAGAGGAGGGAGCTACACAATGAAGAAGCTGCAGAAATCGGGAGAGGGGTCACCTTGAGTCTTTGGCTGAATACTAAGCTGCTTATGTGTGGGTTTGAAACTCCATAACACCACACAGAAAAACAACTGAAAGCTATCTGAGCTGTAAGCTGAAAAATTCCCAGAGCTCACGTTAGCCAGAGTGAGAAGACTTCATAAAATACCTAAGGCATTCAGAAGAGAGCATTGACGCATAGAGACCCCAGAAGTATCATACGCTAGTAGCGGGGCTAAATTAGCCCTAATGCAGGATCCTCAAAGTGTGGCCCACATAACTCCTGGGAGTCCACAGACACTTTCTGCAAAGTCAAAAGTATTTTCGTAATAGTACCAAGATGTTATTCGTCTTTCTCACTGGGTTGATATTTGCATTAATGGTATAAAAGCAATATAAAATGGCTGGGGTCAAGGCAGTAGAATAGTAGCCATTGTATTCTTCACCAACGTGTTCACAGTTTGGTTTTAATTAAGAATTGTCCTTGATGAAGCAGTAAAACTTGTTAATCTTAGTAAATTTTGACCCTTGAGAACACTTTTTATCTATATATTCTGTGTGGTGAAATGGAAAGTACACATAAGCACTTTTGCCAGATACCAAATCATGATGGTTGTCTTGAGAAAAATTACTCATGAGTGTGGAGACTAGAAATCTATGTGAAACTAAAAATGTGGAAACTGAGGGCAACATTTCTGTCAAGTCTAGAGAACATGGCGAAACCTGGTCTCACACGGCAAATGTTTAAGATAAAATAACTAGCTTGTTTCTTTAAGTGTAATGAACCCTCTTAGAATAGCTCTACATTCCAGATAAACTGGCCTAGGCATTGACCCCTCTAACCTGCATAGTTTGTTTTCTTAGCCAAACACAGTCCTGAGGAAGAAAGGATTTCAAGAGACATTTTGATGAATTTCCAAAAGACTCATGGAAACCCTTGGACTTCCCTGAGTTTGTTTGTTCCTTGGACTATAAACACCCATACTGCCTCATCTCAGGTACAACACCTAGTCTCTTGCTATGTGTTGTCTAATTCATGAATTGTAGGATCGACTAATAAGTCTCTAGCATTCTTTTAACTCTTAGAAATAATTCAACATGAGATTGAACTGCAAGTGAAACTAGCCATTTTTTTCATGGACCACCATTATTACTTGAAAAGATGACTGACAGAAACTATGGTTTTACAGACTTGGGTATTTGGCAGAATCTTTCCTGAAAATGAGCAAGAGAGGCTGTCACTTGAAGGAAGACTACTGACAGTATT